CTCTACCTCCTTGTGTCTCTCTCCTACACTATATATATATATTTATATATATATATATATATATATATCAAATATATTTAAAAAAACAGAGAATGCACTAGAGACCTTCTTATTTTCAAAATTTTCTTGTGGAGAATGTCTCTGGACATATCTAGCATGTTGTGCATCTTTGGTGCTCAGCAGTGAACTTAAACTATTTCAGCTGTTTTTACCTTTGCACATTCTTATCTCTTATGAAACTGGAAAAACTTGCAAGGCAGAGAGTTTTAGACAGCAATGGGTTACAAAACCATATCTTGAACCAATCCTAAAAATAAAGGCTTGGGTTATGGAGAGAACTCTCAGACACAATAAACCATTGTGATGAAGAATCGGGGTTTCAAGTTAATGAAAGCTTTTATAAACTTCCAGCTATGCCTCAAAATCCACAGCTATTCTGTTTCTATATTTTCCTCTTCTCTGACCACTCATTTTTGCCCAAGACTTCTGCTGATATGGAGGGTAATTCCACTTTTTCTCCCATTTCCCACATTTATGACCATTCAGATCCTGACTGCATTCTGTGTCTGGTCCAATGGTATCTCACTTCCGTGGTTCCCGTAACTGTTTGTTTATTCCATGGAATCCTTCTGTGTCCTGGGACCTCTCCCATTACCCTCACAGGTTAGATTCACCAGTTAATCAAGCTGGTGTATTCTTCCCTTTCACCTGAAGTGTGTCACCTTTCTAGGGCACCTGCTCATTAAATTCGTCAGCTCACCATGTCCCTAGCTGCCCATTTCCATCTTTCTTTGGAGGTCATCATCGTGGCTGGTATGTGGACTACACCTCATGCCTTTGTTTCACATTATTTACATCACGTGTCCATTTCTTGCTCAGCATGTTTTCATTTACCTCCAGTCACCATCTTACACACCACAGTGTCATTATCACTGATGAGCAATATTCCCTCTACTTTTTTCCATCTGTGTGTGGAATGAATTTTTTCATGTGCACCAGTATCAAGGCAATGTGCAGATGTGTGCTACTAGTTTTTTTCTCTTTTTTTTGGGGGGGGGCATATTTTTAGAGAACCCTATGGAATCATTAGGCCACTTTGCAATGCTACCAGTTTAGTATTTGTTCTTTAGGCCCATCGACTGCCATGGTCATTGAGGCTGTCAACATGTTGAGACTCCTCACCATTACTGAGGATGTGCACAGCAT